CTAACCTATGGCAAAATATTCTATAATGAAATATAACTACGAAATGTTAATATAGCAATTACTATTGAGCCAACAAGCCTGGCTTTGACATGAAGTTGTTTAGGAGTGCGTTAGCGACTAGAGAAGTGGTTGCGGGCCCCTCGTATGCAAGTTCACTTCACATTTCAATGTTTATGTTTGTTTTTGTTGTGTTTGTTAAAAATTTATGTTTTTCGAAGATTTTCAGTGAAAATGGGAGGATAATAGTGTTCATTGTGATGAATATAAGTGTGTTGAAGTGCTAATCGGCGAGGAAAAGTTAAAATCTTTAAAAATGAAATTTAATATTCAATAAACATTTCTTCATACTTTAAATATAGGTACAGGACTCTTTAGTATTAAAGTTTAATTAAGTTAGGCATATTTAAAGGTTTAATAACTCAATATTTATATTACCATACGAATTAAAAATATCAATTTGAACAGCAGCATAAAGTATGAGACCCAGGTTTAATTTTAGAGGAAATAAGTGTTACAATCTTTTTTTAACGTGAAGCCCAAATTGTAATTAAATAAATCAAAAGAATACAGAAGAATGTATTGAGGTTTTTAAAGTTTAGTACTCCCTTTAGTTATTTCCAGTTAGATTTCTCTGTCTACTTTTCAGTATAGGTTATTAGTAGATATTTTATCTGCACTTCAAAATTTTATTGTGTGAGTATTTTAAACTGCTTTAAACGAATTTGATGAACCATATTAAATAAAAAATAGTCACCTATCTTTATCTCTATGTTTTGATCTTCTAAAACGAGTTTGAGTTGGTAAAATCAAGGCAAACTTAGGGTAGGGTTGTCAATTATTATTTTGATAATAAAACTAGTGAAATTCCGCGGTTTTATATGCACAAGCGTGAACGTAGAACATAATATAACCTTTATGTTTTACATAAATATCCCAAAAAAAACTTATTATTTTAATATGTATATATAACAAGTTTATTGCATTTTTATTTGAGTAATTTTTTTATGCAATTTCTTTATCTACGTCTATTTTTAGGAACCTTTATTTAGTCTGAATCATACATAACACTATATTACTGATTTACTTACTTATACGTTGTTTTCTTTTTTGCAGTTACAAATATCTTGTGAGGTTGAAAAAGGCAGTAATGAAAAAATAATAAGAAGAATAATAATTGACGTCAGCCACTTCTTTTCATAAAAATTTCATATCATGGTCCATTAGGTTGCAGCTTCACCGAACTTCAACTTATCGGAGAAACACAAAAGGCTTAGAGTCAAAATTTACGTTTAAATGCCAATTATGTAACCAAAAATTTGTAATAGTAAACGAAGATTGTAGTGAAAATTATTAATCATTAAATATATTTATTATTTATAGATTTATTGATATATTTATTATTTATCCTATATTATATATTAAGTAAGTATGTATATTTTACTAACTATATATCTATTCTATTCATTTGCATTTTATTTTGTTTTATATCCTTATTATTTATTTATGAAGTGATTGATTACATCTGCCACAGTTTCTCAAATCATCCACGGTTGACTGGCTGAGAATGCCATAATGCATTAAGTCCGCCCTTTATATCCCTTAGTATATAAGCTGTATAATAAAGATTAAATAAATAAATAAATGTGCAGTCGCAGGTATGATTGAAATAGGCGCGGGAAATTCGTAACTTACCACTACCACTTATATATATATATATTCCCATTTAATAGCTGCAGCTGTTTGTTTGTAATTTAAGAAAGTTAAAAAATTTGTAATCAATTTCTTACATTCGAGATAATAAGATTGACTTCATTTTTTATTTTGTTCTATTTATTAATACCCACCCAGTATTACTAATCACAAATAATCACAATACCTCATTAGTTTTTAGTTACTAATGCTACATTTATTATTTTAATAATTACCTACCCAGTAGGTAAATATTAAAATAATAAATGTAGCATTATAAACAGTAAATCTCCCTCAAACTCAATTTACTAATATTGTTCCTAAATAAGGAATAGCAGATAAAAGATTAGTAATAACTACAGCTACTCAAAATTATATTTGACCTCAAGGTAAAACATATCCTAAAATTCAGTAGCTAAATAAAATAATATCTTCTATTCAAGTATATTTTCAATATGTAAGTAAATGAAAATAACATAAATGAAGCACCATTAGCATGTAAAGTTCGAATCCATAATTAACATTTCGACAAATATTTTAATTTACACTATAAAAAGCTGATTCAATATTAGCAGTATAGTATATAGTTAAAAATAATCAAAATAGTAATTTTTATTAATTAGATAATATATAAGAATACATAATTCTATTATAATGCAACTAATATACCGAATAAAGAATATTAAAATACATTTATCATTGTCTGCCGTGTCTATTTCCATAAAATAGTTCATTGACATTGAAAAAATAATACTACGTTCGTACCAGTAGGTGGCGTCTTGCAGATTTCTTACACGATATATCGTAGCGAGAGTCGGCGGACCAAACGCTCAAGGTCGTTCGCTAGGGGTATGGCCTTAAGTAATAAGGTTAAAACATTATGTTGACATTTTCGTGCTTACTCTAATTTGGTAGCAGACGTAGTTCTTGGTATTATATTTCAATGATCCGAGCATTACACAGAGAGTATTGATAGACATAGAGTTGCAGAATATAAATATTTTTAGGGCAAGGGTCGTTTTGTACGTTGGCAAATATTTTTGACCGATTTATAAAAGTAGTAGGATTAAGTAGTAGGTATTCATTGAAAGGTCGTTAATTTCTTTTTTAAATACCCTTTTCTAGGAGTGTCACATACCGATGTTAAATCTGATAATGATGCATCAGGAGACTTCAAGCAAACTGCATCAGCCCGAGCTGATGTTAAGTAAAAGTTAAAGTTTATTGAAAACAATTTTAAAGTATTTCATGAAAATACCTACAGGTATAGTTTTTTTTTCAATAAAGATTTTTTTAATAACCTGATTGAATAACTCTTTCGTTATTCTGAACATAAAGCTGATTGCACTTTTATTGGTCCGTGAATCTGAAAAAGTCATAAACAACTTACCTTTTACAAAAAGCACTACACTACCTTCACAATCTTACACTTTCAATTTTACTACTTTATGATAATTACCGGCAATTTGGTAACCGCTGTTTTTAGTAATCTACGCCTTTCGTGTTTCCAGTTATGTCCAATCTATCAAAATGAATCGAACATATTCTCAAATTTTTGGATGGGTTGTATATATAGTTCTTCTCCTCTTTCTTTCGCGACAATAGATACTCATTCTGCATAGCGAAATGGAAATTTACAAACAAAAAATATATATTAATAACTACTCCATCCATGTTTGTTCAAGAACAGTCGATGTTTGTTACAATAGGTGTTGCGTTGTAGCAAACATTGGCCAAACAATCTTAATATTAGCTAATTGAATAATTTTTGCTATTTAATTCTGTATTTATTTTACGAGAAACACTTAATGACATACTGTGAAAACTTTTTTTTCGCATTTCGATAAATGATATGACCGTACTGATTGTGGATTCGCTTGTGGATGTCCCGCATAGGGGACTTTCGGTTTTGGCCTTTACATGTGTATTTAATAAATACATTATAGTTAAAAGTTTCTTATTATTTTTTAGGCTTATCTTCAGAACAGATACAGTGGTTAGAGCTGAGAGATGATGACTCAATCATCGAAGGTATTTCCGATGAGGATGACTCGATGTCTCTTACTGCTCATGCAGAAACTCTCCAAGAAGGTGGAGAAAGCTCTAGTGAGTATTCAAGTGATGATGAAGTACCACTCTCCACATTTTCTGCTCCTCAGCTTTCACAAATGAATTGTCGGATTTATTGGAAGCACCTAGACGACTTCGCACCATCTCCACCCGGAGTTTATCGTCTTCCTTTAGCATCCAGTCACGTTAGAGTATTACAAACACCGTTTGAATATTTTACCAGATACATTCCTGAAAAAATATTCGAAATATTCAGCTCCTTTTCAAATCAAACTTATTTACATAAAACAGGGAAGAATTTAGGCACAATAAAAGATGAAATGAAAATCTTTTTTGGCATATATATCGCCATGAGCTATTTGGGTTTGCCAAGAATTAAAATGTATCGGATGAATAAAACTAGGATCCCAATGATAGCTGATAGTATCACTAGAGATCGTTTTTAGATTCGGATAAGGACTAACTTGAAACTAGTGAATGATCTTGATGTCGATACAGCTGCCAAACAAAATAAGTTTTGGAAAGTGCAACCCCTAATTGAAACGGTACGAAAAGCTTGCCTAGAAAATCCCAGACCTCAAGAAGTCAGCATTGATGAACAAATAATACCATTTTGGGGCCAAGTATCAATGCGGCAGTTTATCAGGGGAAAACCAAACCCTTGTGGGCTGAAGAATTTCGTTTGTACCAGCCCGGGTGGTATACCCTTAGATTTTTTTTGTATAAGGACAAGGCTGATAGCATACTACCGACTGGTGAAACTGAAAGTCTGGATATTGGCGGGAAAGTCGTAATGAGATTGGCTAATAATTTACCTGAGGGTTCCAAGCTATACATGGATAGATATTTTACATCGAATGAGCTGGACAAACTATACACAGAGAAAAAAAATGCAAGGAACGGGCACTCTCAAGAAGTCAAAAATCCCTAAAGCATGCAATTTTACAACCGATATGCAGTTAAAAGATCAGGGACGCGGTTCTTCTGACCAATTAGTAAGGAATGATGGCCTAATGGCTTGTTTGAAGTGGTTTGACAACAAACCTGTAGTTATGGCATCATCTGCAGATTCAAAGTTACCTGAAAACAAATGCCGGCGCTGGTGTAAGAAGACGAAGCAATATATCGAGATTAATAGGCCTTATGTTATTCAGCAATATAACGAAAATATGGGGGGGGGGGGGTGGACATGCTGGATAGGGTTATTAGCTTTTATAGAATAAGCGCACGCTCAAAAAAAAATGGACGTTTCGAGCATTTATTCGACTTTGCGGCAGCTGCAAGATGGTTGGTATACCGGAAAGAAAGCCCAAATGTTGGATACTCCTAAAAAGGACACTCTGGATTACTTGGAGTTCAAAGCTGTAATAGCAAATTCTTTGCTCTATTTCACTCCAGCAAGAGAGCAAATACACCTGTACGAGGAAATATGTCCCTCAACCCCCATTGCAGCTGAGAACAGCCATGGCAGGTCATTTACCAATGATTGATAACGTGTCAGTTGATCACAGATGCCGCTTGCCAGGTTGCAAGAGCAAGAAAGCAAGGGTATACTGCTCAACTTGCGGCATGCATCTATGTTTAGTCGCAGGGCGGAATTGTTACGAACAATATCACGAACAAAATCAATTTTATATGAATAAATACTTCTTTCTTTCACTGAGCTTTAAGGTTTTATTTATATCTTTTTCATAACACTCAAACCGAAAGTCCCCTCTAGGGGACACGTAATAAAACAAATATATAAATAGAAAAAATACAAAGTATATTTTTGTTGCTTTAAAATGTATTTCTAAGTATGTCTATCAAAAATTGTATCAATCCGAATAACTAAAATACGAGTAAATTAACAATGAGCATATGGTGTCAGCTCAGATTTAATGTTTAAAATTAATTTGATCCGATGTGATATGATAATTAATGTACTTATGAGCTATGTATATATGCATAGATATAGTAATACAACCTATTAAACTTTTCAACGCCGTTGACGGATATATCGGTGCTACAGGTTGACCGCCAAAGACGGAATAATCCGTCTTCGGAATGATGTCAGTAAAAAGCTTTTATCTAAAAATATGATTAATAAAACACTTATGTACTATACTATAGTTATTGTTCTTTTGCATTATTTTTCAATTCAATCTTTATTTTTAATATAGTACAGCATTCAATATAAGTCCGTCGCTTAGGGAAGTCATACGATTTAAACTGATATTACTATTAAAAATATAGAACCACAATAATGCTTGTTTTAATACATTTTGGCTGTGGTTGATTCAACAATGTGCAAATAGAGTTTCAATTTATTTTATTTAAAACCTTTTTGCTTGATTACGTTTGTCAGTAATAAATAATAAAAAGAGTTTTCGACAAATCTATATTTTGACATGACGCATCACTTGTATTTGTCATTGAAGATTGAAATAATAATGGTATACTCTCAAAACATGCGCCATGGACTGATAACTCTTTGGTAAATGCTTGGTTTAGTGTTGCGTATATCTTTGTATGGTTACTTTTTTTGTCAAATGCATCATTAAAAGTGATGATGAATTATTGGTTATTTTAAAAGGTGTAACTCTAGATGATTACGACTTTGAGGATGATCCTCATATACATTTAGAAGAGGTAAGTAATACCTTCATTACAAAGCCCATGCGTAATTCGTATGGTTGGTAAACAAAGACATGCTGACTTTAATACATTGAGCTATTATGTACTACGTACTAGAGGAGACACTGCATTCAGCTACTCTGTTCCACTCAACTGCGGTGCATGCACTGCACTTTAATCAGTCACTCGCTAGGCGCTTGTAGAGTTGTCACGTGTTGTGTTGATTTAAAAAAAATCTCTTGATAAAAATATGCCGTCTTGTGTACTTAGATATTACACAAATAATTCAAGAAATGTCAGTAAAAACCAAGGAATTACTTTTCATCGGTTAATAAGATACTTATTCAATAAAAAAGTATTATAAATTACTAATAAAGCAAATTATTCCTAAGACGCCATCTCGTATCATTGAATATAGATTATGAAATTAATATGTTCAGATGCGACATTTCTGTGGGTACTTAAGTTAAGGACGAATATATTATTATACTACACATTTTTTTTTGTAGAAACATATAAGTTATTATAATTAAGCTAAATTTTTCATGTTTAAATCTGCTTATTATTCTTTTTATTTTATTTTTAGGTTTCCACTTCAAAGTCAAAGTGGAATAAATTCGTCCATTTTTAACTCTCGCGTGCCCAGCATTTATGAACGATTATTTACAACATTTATGATTCTAATTTAAATAAATATATTTGTAATTTAAATTTTATGTTAATAAGTTTTGTTAAACATACATTTAGTACGTTTTTTTATATTTGACATAGATACCTTTTAAAATATTCAGATAACAATATCATCAAAATGTAATTCTGACATAATATTATGTAATATTATATTAAATTAGCACATATACAAAATAAAAAACAATTTAAAAAATTGTAAGTACTCGATATAATTAACAATACAATATAAATAAACAATTATTACATACTGACCATTCTACTTACGTATAATCTATAATAACAAAAACTGACCGCGCAAGCGCAAAGCGCGTTTATACCAACTGCGCATGCGCGACTCTACTATTACCGCGCATGCGCGAAGACATAGAAGTAGCGCACAATTTTTGTTTGGAATAGCTTCTCTAGTACGTAGTACATTATAACTCAATGCTTTAATATCAGAAATTTTCAGAAACAATCGTTTTCTTAAAATGAGTCAATCGACGAATCAGTAATTACCCACATCAGACGTCATCCGCGGCTTTCACGTGATAGATTATCCCAGCGACGATACCGATCATCTGCAGCAACACGAAGAAATTCACGACGCGAAACATACAGGAGTCGAAGTCGATTGCGGTTTGCTGTTACTGTATAACCAAGACGCTGTTGCGTCGACGTCACAAGGTCCGCCACGACGACATAGATCTCGTGCTCCAAGCACTCCAATTCAACATAGTTCACAAATTTCAACCGCGAATATAGAATTTCTTTGGAGTTCCTCAGAACGTAACGATCACGCATTTCGATGATTTGTCTGGTATATCGCAAGAATGAGTTTTTGATTTTAACTCTACTTAACTAATCTTTTTTGAACATTTTATGGATGAAACTTTAGTAAAACAAATAGTACACTTTACGAATATATATCACCGCTTCTTTGTTTTGAATACCCTGCTCAGCAATTATTCGAGAGTTAAAAAGTGGAAATATGTCACACAGTCCCTGAATATACATATTCATTGGTATCATAATGTTAATGACTCGCAACAAACATTTAACAATTGAGAAACATTGGAGTACAGACGCTTTGTTTTCTTCTCCAATATTTTCAAAAACAATGTCACGTAATCGTCTTTTTGAACTTGGTACAAGTAGCCCAAATGATCCAAAATTGCATAAGCTAAGATTACTTATTGATCACACACGCAACACATTCAAGAACTCGTTTACACCCTATTCTGATGTATGTATCGAAATTAGGTATCTTTGAAAGCATGGTACCTTTCAAAGGTCGGTTGATGTTCACAACAGTATTTACCAAATAAACGGAACCGATTTGTAATTAAGTTGTTCATTTTGTGCGACGTCAAAACAAAGCATATCGATTTCATTATTTATTGCGGTTCTGGTACTGACATTACCCAAACAGAATTAAGATTTAGTGGCTTAGTAGTAATGACATTATTGGCTTCGATCAACACTACCAACTAGATAACGGGTCACTTAAAAAATCATAGCTAAATACTATCCGCATGAATATAAACTATGAAAAGACATAAATAAAATAACATTTAGTGTGAAATCAACCTTAAGTTTTAACAAATAAAGTTCTTTTTCCCGTTATTGCCTTGCGAGCTACATTCTCACGTGCAAGAGCTCACGTCTCATGTGCGCTCTTATTTACCGTAGATGGATTTCTTGCGCCGACCCGACATCTAGTTGGTATTGTTGATCGAAGATTATTGGGGACTACTTTGGGACCCATACAAAACTTTACACTGATAATTGGTACACTAGTCCCAAATTGTATAAAATGTTACTAAACAATGGCATATATGCCTGTGGCACGGTAAATAACGGAAAGGTTGGTATGCCCGCCCACTTTCAGTGTTTTACAAAAAGGTGAGGTAGAGGCAAAATATTCCCCAGGACTCCTAGCTTTAATATGGGTTGATAAAAAAAATGTTCACATAGGTATTGTCTTCCTGGCACAATTCGACAATGGGTCCATCGAACAATGTTGTCATAGTTACGGGTTTATCTAAAATAACACCAGAGTGTGAGTGTGTTATAGATTACTCTTGGAAGATGGGATCGGTAGATAATGCGGATTTGATGATCAGATCTGTGCAATGTATTAGGAAAAGTGTGAAGTGGCACAAAAAACTTGATTTGCATATATTTGACATGCATTTGCTAAATGCATTTTTTGCGTACCGAATTATTAAGACGGTAATTTGTACACCACCAAAACACGTACACGTGCCCGTTTTCAGTTAGCAGTCATTAGACAAATAATTCGTAAGTGCAAACCAGCCGGAGATAATACAATCGTCTTGCAACGAATATTTTCGGGGAAACCTTTGCGAATTTTGCCAGGGAATGCTACAGATTACATGCCTTGATTTTTGCTGAACAACAGTATTTTTGCGGTATATGCGATTTTTCTGTATGTGTTGTTCCTTGTTTCCAAATTTATCACAAGCAAGATCTTTTTAATTGACTATACGTTTTAATAACTTGTTATATTTAAAACTTTTTTGTGTGAATAAACTTTTTTCGTTGACACTCTTGTTTGGAAAATAATACGAAAACGCAAATAAAAAACAGTCGTAAAAATCTGATTTTTAATAAAAATGGATAAGACGAAAATAATAATAAGCGTTTTCTCAAATTCGCCAAAACAATTATTACCTATACGTTATACAAAATGTGGCTTCTTCTTCTTAATCTTATTTAAAAATGAATTTTTTGAACAAGTTGAAAAGTCATTACTTGACAATATGGGTGGTTTTAGATGTACCTTTTATACATTGCGTTTACCGCAGATAATATTGTTACGCGCTCAAGTCGACGATACACTAGCGCCATCTAGTGTCAGGAACGAGAGCGAGGGGAGCATTGAGAAAATGACATCACAAATCACTCAACCGACAGCGCCATCCGAAGAACTAAGTTTCTAGAAAAACTACACTCGCACACTCGTCCCTTTGCGCGCATTTACTTGAATATTCCGGATGCTTCTTTGCTAATTTATATAAATAGGCGCTGCAAGATGCGATCGAGGCAGTATGGTATTTGGCGAGACAAGCGAAGCTTCGGAGCGGAATAAAGTGAATTAGTGTGTTTAATTATTAGTGTTTTAAGTTTTAATTTGTGTAAAGTAAATTAAAGTGTTAATTTAGGTAATTTTATCGGCAATTTTTATTGTCACGAACCTCAAGCTCGTAACAATATGGCTAGAATTATTCTTTTTGGCTCTACCGAATTACGAAGTTGATTTGGAGTTTTATACCTACCGACACGTGTCTTGGTTTTATCAACTTAATACATTGTGAGTTAAGCTATGTAACATAAGAATATATATTGTGCGCTGGTGATATGTTTTATAAGGAAAACAATTATGTTTTATTTCTTTCAATTTTTTTTAATATTTATTAATTATATTAAGTAGTTGCAAACAAAATGTTTTAAAATAAGTATGTTTACTATTAAGTGCAAATTGATTTCTTTAATTAAAGTACTTTCATATAGAAATAAAACGGCTACTATTTTCAATTTGTCCAACTGTTCCTACTATTACAGACACAGTTTTACTTGTCTTGTTGATTGTAGCTTTAATTTCGACTTCCTTTATAAAATATGCAAGGTTTCTTTTTTTTTTTGCAAAATTAAGATAGGTATGTACCCTTTAAGTTTTTTTCATGGAATATATAATTTTAAATTTTACAATAAAGGTTTTTTTTACTCTCACCTATTTTACTACCTCACTAATAATGCTCAAGTAAGTATTAAATTCAAAACAATCAAAACGTCTACATTACTAGTACAGCCCTAGCTTTATCATTTGTTTAATTACAACACATGGGCTTGGCGTCAGAATGAGGACTTTTCAAATCAAATCATTTACTTCGCTAAAACATGGATACAGAGTCAATATTTGTTTCCACATGTCTTGGCTTTTGTGGCATGCGTAAAAATTGTAGAAGTATTACGCAAAATCCTGGATCTGTAGTAATTTACTTAGGCAAAATCAATAAAAATAAAATCAAAATTTATGGTTAAAGAATTCATTGATATTATAAAAGGCCATTATTTCGTTTTATTCGCCTTAATGCCGGTTCACGAATATTTTTAGGCACTTTATTATAAACCTTGATACACATTATGAGGCAATTCCTGTGGAATAATGTAGTTTTACAAGATGGCATGGGTAGAAGTTGTTTTTTGTGCGGTAATATTTAATGAAAACACAGATTTCTAATCCTATACCTTTAAACGAGCAATTCTTGTATGTATATATATATATATAATCGGAACCTCGGAAACGGCTCCAACGATTTTCATAAAATTTGGTGTCCAGGGAGTTTCGGGAGCAATAAATCGATCTAGCTAGGATTTATTTTTAGAAAATGTCTTTTTGTCCGTGTTTTCAGGCAATGAAAAACTACTATAAGAATATAAGAAGATAAATTTTGACACTTTTTTAACGATCGTAATAGCTCAAGAGAATATCGAGCGGTCGCGAATTCGTTATGCCTTGGTTCGCGTCCTGTCTTCGGTCCGATTTTTTTTCCTTTTTTTTTAAATTCCCTTCTTTTGTGAGAAAATCTATTATTTCGAGGCCTTTTTTTCATATTTTTAAAAATACGAAAATTTTAATTGAACTAATGGCACTCATGATTTTTTTTCATTCACCAGTTCAGTTTTTTCTACTATGTCAATAAAAGTTCAAAAAATATTATTCATCAATGTGTAATTTGTATCTAAATGTAATTTCAAAAAAACCGAGCAAAGCTTGGTCATCCGGGTACTATAAATAAACCAGTAAAGTGAGAATACTTTTTCCTTGAACAGGGGTCTACAGCTTTCAAGAGGGCCTACATTACACAGTGCACGAATACATACATACATTTCTTCTGACTTAGGAAGGCTTTGTTTGCGTCAGTTGAGTTGCCCCACAAGAGTAGTCCATATCTTAAGACGGATTCAACGTACCCGTAGTAAGCAATACGTGCTGCTTGTGGACCTGCTACATTTTAAAGTTTACGTAGTGCATAAACAAATTGATTAATTTTTTTGCATACTTTTTGTACGTGTAATTTCTAATTTACAAACCGATCACGTTGTATTCGATGTGGCGTTGTAAAGGTTAATTAATAAAAAGCTAATTTACTTAAGCGAACGCATATATTAATTTATTTTACAATGTAGCAGCCAGATTAATCAAACCGAAACGGGAATAAATAATATATACTCCGCTGCTACCATAACGCGGAAGGCGAGAATAAATAAAAAAACATTTTATTTCCTAATTATTCTTGGCTACTGAGATACTGCGGACTGTATATAGATAATTTGACGTTCTTATAAAGAAACAAGAAGCAGCCGCAAATATCATTCAGCGCCACACCGACTTCACACGCCGCTATCGTCACGTATCCGTCGACCAATGGTGAGCCGTTTCTTCAACGCCGCAGTTCGTTTCCTCTTGCTGTTCCGGAGCTGTATTCCACACCGCCGCCGCTCGCCGACTACGCGTGCGCACCGATCTGCATGTCTTATATAGCCCGGTCCAGCGACGTAGCTTCGTGAACAACAAACAAGTCTCACGCCGGGAAACGAAACGTAGATAATTGTATATTTTAAATAGTTTTCATTGGTCATAAAATAAGCAATATAATTGGCTAGGCAAAATATTAATTGTTACCATTGGCAAATCAATAGTGAGCCAGCCATATAAATATAGGCAAGGTTGATGCAAAATATATTCCATTCCGAATCCCATTCGACAGTACATT